TTATCACCCATTAAGTAAGATCAAATAAGGAGATACAAGTAGTGTGAAAAATTATCCACTTTCAGTAGTAACTGTGTTTCCTGAAGCGCTTGAGAAGGTTATGTACAGTAGGTCAGGCCAAGAAATGAATATTAATAACATAATATATTGGGCCCAGGACACTTTGGCTTCAAGGTACAAGGTATACAATTTATGAGACTCAGGGCGTGCTTGCATTGCGTGGTCGGTCAGCAATCCAATCTCTTTTAGTTTTTCAGTCTATGCTTCTTAAAAATCACATCTCTGCTGCCATTAGTCTAGTAGTTCAGGATTTTACTATTTAACAAAAGAATTATGATCCTTAAATGCCAATTAATTTGGATTGAAACTCTTTATTTTCATCATTGCACTGGGTGAATATTTTAAATTTGTACAGGGACCACAGACGTTAATAACTTCTGTGGTCCCCGTACAAATTTATAAAGTATTTCCATAAAATATTTTTCAACTAAATGTCAGACTGGATCTTGTCTTCCAAACACCATACTAACGCAATACAAATACCATACCACTTCTGCAGCCAGAGTCAGTGTGTATTTTTACTGCAAGAGTTTATTGGCCCCATGCCAAATCCCAAAGCTGGAGAACTGGTCCTTGCATAATTTTACCAATAAAATTAGAGCATTAATTAAGTTAAATAAATCAAGTCTTAAATTAATTTCAGGTTGCTGAATTAACTGGACACACAAAACGGGTCTTGCAACTGGCTCTGTCTTCGGACGGAAGCACAGTGTTGTCTGCTGGTGCAGATGAAACTTTAAGATTGTGGAAATGTTTTGCTCCTCATCCTGAGAAGAAGAAAGAGATAAGAGACTCGAAGGGTGCTGTGAGCATGTTTAAAGGACTTCGATGATATTGTGAGTGTTTCTGTTTAATTGTCTGTTTGTTTACATTGTTACGTTCGTTTATAAACATTGTTGTGTTTGTTTATTGTTGTTTTCGTTTAAAAGCCGTTGACAAGCGGCTTATGTGTAGTTTTATACAGGTCTGCCTGTGGTTTTGGTGATGTGTACATAGTTTTTATTAGCCATAAATTTGGCTCAGTGTTATTTATTTGTTAAATAGTTTAAATTATTCTAACAGTAATAGTGATGAAATATGGTCACACAAATTATAATGTATCTATTGAGATTGTTAATTGTCTAGTTACCTATATGAACGTTCAATATCCATACTTATGTGGAGTGTTATACAGGACTGCCTGTGGTTTTGGTGATGTGTACATAGTTTTTATTAGCCATAAATTTGGCTAATTGTTATTTATTTATTAAATAGTTTAAATTATTCCAACAGTAATAGTGATGAAATATGGTCACACAAATTATAATGTATCTATTGAGATTGTTAATTGTCTTGTTACCTATATGAACGTTCAATATCCATACTTATGTGGAGTGTTATACAGCACTGCCTGTGGTTTTGGTGATGTGTACATTTGTTTTAATGACTCTGTATTTGGCTTCAATTTTATAAATTTATTACGTGGTAAGTAATACAATATGCTGTTTTAACGTATCTGAATGTGTTTGTGTGTGGAAGGTGAGGTTTCACTAACATCCATATAACAGAGAATATCTGAACTGTGAGTAAGAGACATAGTTTTGTGTTTCAAATGACACTACGAATAAAAGTATCCAATACCTCGGAACAGCATTACATGGTCAGTTTCTGTATCCGTCAGCCATTTGAATACATTTCCTAGTATTATTCCAGTATTATTCAGTTAATAAAACATGGATTGATGCTCAAAGTTCTCAGAAAAAATTATTCATTGGATGACATTTTACAGAAAAGACCAATTTCCACTGGATCTTATATAAACATTTAATAACATGTTAGATATTTACGATGGAGTGTAAAATAGAGTTTATGAACTCAAGACGTTATCGAAAACTCGTTGAGAAATCAAGCAGAAAGGAAAATTTTCAGTAAATATTTACGACACAGAATATGATAGATGGCGCCAAAGAATTTACGAAAGGAAAACATGTCAGTGCAGTCATACAGCAAAGATATTCCTGTGTCACAGAAAATTTGTTGATGGTTCCGTCACAGTCAACTACAGGCTTCTTTCTGTTCTGAAGAAACCACCCGATGCACGAAACACGACGGCTTTTTCTGAAGGCGAATGCCCAGGGAATATCAGTCAGATAGACAACTTTAAATAGGTCATGAAGTGTGTTGATCACGATAGCTAAAATTTTTTTTAATTCTGACGACAGGTCCATATGAACAGGCTCCTTCCATCCTTTTCTCGGACTGGGACCTGATCCAGAAGTGGTTTGCCATTGCCTTCTTCTGTGTGTGAATGGAGTAATTGTTGGGATGCCACGGAGGAAAACTCCGTGTTGCCTAGACCACGGCCTTGCCCAACACAAGTTATAAATTCGGGCACCGCCGGGAATCGAACCTGAGACCCCAGGATTACAAGGCCAGCGTTCTAACCGCTAGACCACCGTGGCTTTGTAGATGTAGAGAAACACAAAGATTTAAACTCTGCCAAACTGTCTGCATTTACATGTAATGGTCCAGATAAATTACAGAACACTCAGCAGAGACTGAGAAGAAGCCCCTTCCAAAAGGAAGTCAACAGTGTTGTCCTTTAGGCACAAAAGAAGACAGAATGATGCTCGTGGCCAATGTTTGAACCAAGAACCTTTCGAATACTTACCACGTTGGGAAGAGATTGTAACCCAGCTGTTCTACGTGGCATTACATGTTTATGTTTCCTGTCTGAGAATAGGGAAACTGAAGACGATACAAGAACTTGCCCATTTATAGTATTGTTTAAAGAACAGAACATAATGGATGTTGGTGTGAGCTAATTATCTTATCATAAGATTTTTTGAATGTATTTTGCCTCATACTGTCCAAAAATTGGTAGTACTGACAATGGTAGAGATGCGAAATGCACAAATACATGCAATTTTAGTTGGAAAACCTTAAGGAAAGTGACCTCGTGGAAGTCTCAAGCATGCACAGGAGGATAATGAAAATGGATTGTAAATAGTATTACTGAATTTGTCTGGCTCACATTACTGTCCAGGGGTGGGCTCTTGGTAAACGGTAACAAACATTTTGATTCCATAAGAGATAGTTGACCAACTGTTCTTGATTTATAAGAAAGATTTTCAAGAGTTGTGTAACTAAAATACGTTGAATGCACACATTTACAAATTTGAATTGACATGGTTTTTATATTCCAGTATTTTCTGTCTATCTGATAAGTTATTTCCATAAAGCAACTAACTTATTAGTTTTGCTGTTTCTGATGCAAGTAACAGTGTCCCAACAACAGTACTTGCTAACTTTTCCTTCCAACTAACTTGTTTTCGTTTCTTGGTAGAAATTTGACCTAAGAGATGAGTGAAATTTTATGTAATAACTTATGGTCAACCCTTCTGTCAAAAGTCTTATGAAAGTCATAAATGATACTTTTATTATACTAATGCAATCTCAACTCATTTTCATTTAAGGTCACATTATGGAGATAGGAGTCCCAAAATATTTAGGGAATAGGCTTATGTATATAGAATGAGAAAAAAAAAGATGTACAAGTTGCATACCTTGAATAAATTAAACCACTTTAATGCAATCTCCTTCTGAGTACATCTCTCCATAAAATTTACAGTATCATTAAGTCTCCTGGTGAAAGATAGCAAATTAAGAAAAAAAAATTAAATTGTCATTAAGGGCTCAAATTCACAATAACACTTGAATTAAATCTGAAGCTGACTACAGAGAGCATGTTCACTTTATTGTAAAGCTGCCTTTTAACGTGACCAACCACAAAAGTTGTAAAACTGCTTTCTTATGACTTTTCATAAGGATCTTTTGGAACAGCTGAATGGATCTCCATTAAATTTGATATTAGGGATTTTTCAAGTTTTCTGCACATTAAATTTCTTGTAAAAAATAGGCAAATATAATGAATATTTTACAGGATTGAAATTGTTTCTCAGGCAGGATGTTGAACATAAATTGCCAAGTAGTTGTAGAGATAAATGGACCACAAGGTTGACTCATGCTGTCGTTTTATGATTTGGAAACCAATGGAGTAATTTTGATCAACTTAGATCTTGGATCTCTGAAAAACTGGACTGGTTTGAGACTTTTGATGCATCACACCCCGATGATCATTGCTGACTGCAATAAAATGAGCTCTGCTCTTTTAATATGTACCCTTAATTATTTGAGATTATTTACTAGAGGAGGAGATGACATGGACAATGATGACAGATAGAAGAGGTCATTCAGATATAATAAAATTCTGTGATGATGGCTACATTGATTGCTTCCTTTAATTTAGAATTATAGTTTCTGGACATTGACAATGGTGTACATTCTTGAGACCACACTCAATGTATGTTTCAAATTTTCTTAATAAAGTTGTTTCATGCACAAGATTGCCAGTATTTATGCCAGTTTTTCTTGGAATATAATAAAGATGAATTTGAACTCTACAGCAATTGTGAAAAATATTTCATGCTATTTAATTTCTCTCTCTCTCTCTCTCTCTGAAAGAAGTGCTCTAAAAATTACACTTTAATATATCAATACATTTACCAATTAAATTGCAGAAAATCATAAATTGAAATAGGCCTATAGAACTTACTCATCTATTGATAGAAATATGTGCACCTGAATGATTCCATTAAGTCTTTGAAACATACACTTTACATGATTTAACATCCAGTAATTCTGAATTTTGTCTATAGAGTGTTTTTATGGATTTTACTTGATTCTCAGAAAAAGAATTGAATATTTCCGTCAACTAACTGATCTTTCTGTACAATGTATCTTCTCTGTGGCAGGAAAAGAACTGTTAAACATCAAATTTGTGCTTCAAAGAATTAAAATCACAACTTGACAGCACAAAATCTTGTTACAGATACTGTCAGAGTTATTATTTTTTTATTTCTCTTCTTTTTTACAATTTGAAGATAAGTTAGAGGTCGAGATTCTATAGTTTCAAAAGATATATTGCTTACAAAGGCATTACTTGTATGTTGAGTTAACACTTTATTAACAGAACAATTTCAAAATATAAAATATGTTGCTGATACAATTGCTGCTGAGTAGTTCACAAGAAACATGAAGATAGCTGATTGGTTCCCTTCTCGTTATCCATAATAACATTCTTCATTTACAAGCTCAGTCTTCAGTTGCTTGATTTACAGCTTTGACTGCAATTTAAAGAAAAAGAATTTTGTAGTTCTGTGTTAAAATAATGTATAGTAAAAACACTGTTAATCCAAATATTTCATAATCCAGTATGCTCTAGCTTGGTCAGTAAACTATGGATGCACTCATTTGGTTGTTTGTTGACATCCTTAAATTGAATGTTTCTCATGGTATCATCCTGAAATAATTATTTTTGTGCCACAAGTGACTTTTAAGTATGAATAAATATCATAATAATAACAATGGAGTGAAAAAGATCTATGTTACTTTAAACAGACCCTATTATAGATAATATGTGTGTGAAGTTGCCAAGTATGGTAGTTTCTAATAATATTTTACTATTACTAGCATATTTCAATTATCACTTCACTAATCCAGCTTATCTCTTAATCCAGATCACAAATCATTTCCATTTAAACCAAACTGGTGATGTTTGCTGTACATAACTTTAATTAATGTGACCATAATTATATTGGGGGGCTTTCTCCCACTAGTAACTAACTTCATGGTGCATCACCATTTTGAAAAGTTGACAGTTACTTACTATTTAACAAACTCCATGGGGCATAGTTCATTGTGAGAAATAGGCAATTGCTCTGCTAGCGAAGATATTTTTTGGCCATTATGGGACCTGAAATTCTATTGTTATGTTTACAAAGACCTGCAATGGACATTATCCTGAGTGACAGTTACTAAGCTGCTTCATAAATTTACAATTTTTATGGAAACCAAGTGTTCATTATATATTCACAGAAGCTCACATAATTGGACCTTATCCTGTGTCAGCTGAATTCAGTAGCCTTCAATTTTACACCACATTTATTTAAAATAGGTTTACTGTTACCTCCGACCACTTCCTTAAGTTTTGAAAGTGGTCTCATCCCTTTAATTTGTTTCAGTCCTTTATTTTATATATACATCCCACATTTCCTATGCGTGCTACTTGTCCTGCCCATCTCATTCTTCTTGACTTCATCTGCCTAAAAATATTAGCTACATAGTAGAGAGTAGAAAGTTTTTGTTATGTAATTTTCTGTCCTCCAGTTACTCCTATTTTAAGTCCTAATATTTTCATTAGCACTAGTTATTATACATCCTGAATCCAAATTTTTACATTAACATAAGAGACCATTTTTGTCACACAAGAAACATGTTAGCTACCCCTTACATCAAGGATTTGTTCTGTATCCTAGTGATGATACTTAAATGTATAAGCCTACTTTGTTTCATCAGGAGCTGGGATAGCTCAGTCAGTATAGTGACTAGCTATGGGCTGGATAACTGGGGTTTGATTCCCAATGGGGAAGAGGATTTTTCCTCTAGCCTCTACATCCAGACTGGCTCTGGGGCCCACATAACCTCCTGTCCAATGGGTACCGGGGCCCTTTCCCGGGGGTAAAGCTTGGTCAGGGCGTGATGCTCACCACTCACCCCCATCTAGTGCTAAAGTCAAGAAAGAGTAGGAGCTATACCTCCACTCTCCCAAATGACCTACATGGTGTGTAGTGGGATGACTTTACTTTACTTTTGCTTTGTTTCATCAGAGTTTATTATTAAAAAACTTCATTACAAGGGTTGAATATTATCTCTGTGATCCTGCATATTTTGTTTGGACTGCATGTTATCAATAATTTTGTTTAAAATGAGAATAGTGGGACATCTTCCATGAAAGTATATCTACAAATAGTGGATAATAGCTAGGCCTACAATACACATACTTAATCTTTGTCACCATTACATTTAAATTTATTTGGTGGCTTGGGAAAATCAAAAAGCAAAATGGATGTGATGTGTGAACATAATATTAGGAGAGATTTCATTGGAGGTCACATATCCTTATTCTTGTGAGACAAATTACTGACAAGCAGAGTGCTGATACATGCATCATCAAATTCAATGTGCTGGGATTAAAATACAGGGATTAACTATAACTTATTCCCAAAAATTAATTTAAACTTTTGATAGAAACTTTATTTTCTTGTATGAACCATTCAGGAAATCAATAGTGTCATACAGAGTTTGTAAAGACTATTACATTTCATCACAGATGGTTCGCCTTCCAATTTATACTTATCTTCACTGAATGATCACAAAGTTGTCATTTTCAGTTTTCCAACAAATTATCTTAAATTATCGTCAAAATACCACACAAATTTCTGATAATTCTAGTACTTTCCTCATGTTCACAATGACCCATTTTTAATGCCAGGATGTAAAAGTTCTTTAGGCAGAGCATGTTCTTAAGGCTGGTGACAGACAGTGAAGTGACATCACTGTTTGAATAAAAGGAAGGAGAGACACACGCAGTTGGGTATCAGAGTTGGAAGAAGAAACACAGTTGGAACTGTATTACATAATATACTCAGAAAAACTACAATGAGAATGTAAATACTTACCTCAGCATGAATGGCTAGGACGCCATCAGACTCGGCATACAGGATTTCAATGTAAGCTCTTCCAGAACCGTCAACAATAACAGACTTTCCACTACAGTTGTTTCCAACCTTTGAACCTGAGATGATGTCACAGTAGATACCTGCAGGGAGGCACGTCTGAAATAAGAACAGAATTCAAATTTTAATACAAAAGTGACAGCTACTTAATAACACTATATTACCTGCACAATTCACAATGGGAAATCTTAATTTATTTTTTATTATAATTAAAAACAAAATTTTGTGTTATAAAAAGCTGACTTTCCCTCTGCATCATCTGTAATGCAAGTCCATGTTTATATACAGATCCTGAATAATAACATTAGAATATATCTTACTTGTAATGTTTCCTTCAAGTCTACATTATACTGGTCATTGAAGGCAATGAAGCCTCTGCCTCCTCTGCAAAATGCAATTTGCTTGTCTGAGTTGTCCCACCAATCATTCACACCAGTTCCTAAAAGAAAAAATTGATGGTAAGATTGAAACACAAAATTAAGATTAAAAGAAAATCTTTATGTTCTCACACATAGCTATAAAAGAAAATTTTAAAAAGTTTAATTTTCTGATTTGTAGCAGATGAATATACATCTCAGTAGTTAGAATACTAAAGGGGTAATTTGAACCACCTAGTACTTCACATTCCTGTGCTATTCTCTACTTTTCCTCCCTGTAAATTCTCTCCTTGTATTCTACCTCTGTAGATCCACCACCTGTGCTGCACTAATTTGTGTCTTAAACATCAGACTAACAGCACTGAAGAATCTGCCGAGAGTGGCTGGTTGAGTTGAGTCCGGGAGGCAAGGCAAACTTTGTAAATTCTTTATACCATGTACTAGCATGTAACCATAACAAAACTTTGCCAGATGTATTTCTTCCTCATGGGGCTATCCTCAATGACTCTATATTTGGTTCAACTTCATATGTTAAAATGTATTATGTAAGATTATACCAAATATGGAACCACTTAGGATCAAGAACATTGTAAATAAATACTGCTTAGTGATAAAAATTTGTTGAAAAGTTGTGTTTTTTTTCTAAATTCTCTTTCAGATGCCATGTTATATATTTATTCTTTGGCTTAATTTTGTCTTATGCTCACTTCTAGGGTATCCTTATGTAATTTTCAGTAGACCAACCAACCCCACCCACAATTCCCTAGCATTGTTATAGAGGGTTCTTTATTGTGTATCATTTGTAAATCATCATTGGCTATGCCAGTCCTGTTTGTATCGGTGCCAAAATTAAGTAAAGCTACACCAAGATTTGTTTTCAGAGTTTTAATCATGGATTTACTATGTATTTTATGGACCCCTGTTCTTTTATGAATATACTTCATTTAATCAATATACACATTGGGTTCCATTGCAAAAGTGATACTAATTTGCTGTAACATTTCTCTCCCTGGGATTATTCTGAATAGAGAGGGTACAGTGGGTTCTTACCTGGATTTATAGCTTGTCCCCTCTTTCCATCTCACATGCATATGTATGTTTGTGTATGCTTGTATGGCTGTCTGTATGTGTGTGTCAAGAGATGGTTATACACTACACTATTACGTTGACTAAAGACTGAGTGGCTTGTGACTTGATACACTACCTGCCACAACATTCCTGAAGCCAACCATGTTGTAGATCTGTCTCCACCGATGCTCACAGATCCACCCATTACCACAAGTGTTGTCATTGTAGATAATTGGTGACAGGATGTTGCCATCACCATCTTGGGGAGGGCCTTGATCAGAGTTACTGAAGTCAAAGCTAGACATTACACGTGGGTAGCCATATGGATAGGCCAATACAAAAGCAACCGCCATCTGCAATAGAATATTCAACTGTAGAAAGAGGACAGAACCATTTACAATGGCCATGTTGCCTTAGACTTATACTAACCATGCAGGGGTGTTCAGAGCAATCTGGAATAAAATTCTTGGAGCTGCTTTGAACATTTCAGCATCCCACACTTTTAATTCATAGATTTCTTGAACATTCTAATATTTTAACTTTTATCTTATGAATTAACCATAATAACTTTACTTTCTTGTCCCTTTCATTTTATCACATGCTTTTAAACCTGAAAAAGCATGTTTATACTCTAGGTCAAACTTTCTATGTTTCCAGGTAATAATAATGCTTCCTATTATAAATACTTGCAACGTAATTTCAGAGATCAATGCGAATGTTATCTGACTGAAATATGTATACAATTCAGCATTCATATCTATTAGTTTTGACTACTTGAAGACAGTCAACTGAAGATAACCTATTAAAGTCAAAACTTGTGGTGGTATTTCAATAAACATTGAAATAATCATAAAATTTGTTGTGTAGGTGGACTGTATCTTCTAATATAGTATTTATCTTTACTATAAACTCATTTTTAGAGTAAAATATACAACAATTTTTGGGTATAAAATTTGTCACACTTATCTGTCGACTAAGGTTGTTCTTTAGTAACTTCGTCAGTTACTGTTCTGTTTCTGTATTAATTTATGTTGCCCAAGTAACTAACACTGTTAAGGTCTTAAAGTTTTTTTACCTTCAATCATATCTTACTTTCATGTTTCATTCTTGCAGTTCTTTTTTTACTGTAAATATCTCCAACATTACACTAACTAATGAGTGGATTTACCCCATAAATAGCAGAAATAGTTGGCAATATTCTTCTTGCATGCACCATCATATTGATCTTTGTAGGCACACATTAAATTGAAATGAATAACTGTTTACTATAACAATTTTCCAGCATGGCAGCATTCAAATTCTGGAAAACTACACGAAAGTAAATAAGGTATAAAACTTAGAAATGCAGGCTACCACTCAGGTCAAAATTTTGTATCTTATTAAATCTGATGATTAAACTATATAGAAATATAATTTTAACCATTGCTTTACTTGGGTATGATCATTAGTCTCATACACTGACATAAGACAGACTGAGATGTGTTTAATAACGAAGTTACACTGACATAAGACAGACTGAGATGTATTTGATAACGAAGCTCTCAGGAAAAGACTCACAGGTTTACAGGAAGGATTAACTAGTGAAGAAAAGAAAAAATTACATAATGAATAAATCCATGATTTGTGACCTTAATATAAACCATTTAAATTAAGAAATTTAAGATGGCAGAACATTTATAGCACATGGGGGAAAATGTAGGAACTGTAATTGCAATACTATTATGGGCATAGATCACGAGATGAATGGGCACAGAACAGATGACATTATTAAAATGTAGTTATAGAAACAGGTTCTGAGATTGTGAAGAACGTTGTGTTTAACTGCAGTTTTCCATAATAACAGGAAGTAGGACTTCTTTAATTAAATGATCAAGCATAGACTGTGGTCTTCTGGGTTATCATTTACCATTAAATCACCTAGAATAATACACAAGAACACAATAAATATTTGCACCATCATGAAGTCTCTGATAAATAGCTGTAGTTTGAACAGGGAAGACCATGTTACATTTAATTTATTATTTGATTCACTGATCTGTTGGCTAGTTAGCCAGGGAGTCAGGCACATAGGCCTGTCTGTTCATTAATTTGGTTACTTGGTTGGTTAGATTTCTCATCAGTGCATTGATTAGTTCCTTAGTTGTTACAGTCAATTCTATAGTGAAGATGTTGGCAGTGAATACCTTATACAGTTTGGGTTCCTTGTAGGTGAGAATACTTGCACCTCCAGCTCCGTGACCTCTTTGATTGTCATGGTTGTCCACAAAAACAAGAGCATCTCCATTATAGACAAATCCCCAGTCTTCACCTGAAATAATGCATTTTGCAATTATATTTATGAAAGCATCTTTACCATATAGCCATTGTATTATATTTGAAAGCATATGACAATGATGAATATATTTTATTTATAAGTTATATTTGTGTGAACCAATAAGGAATATACATTGTGTCACCTTCTGGGTGTAGCACCATGTCAAGGAACTGAAATACATTTAGTCAACGTCCTGTAACCCGTAGCACCATGTCAAGGAACTGAAATACTATAAATGTCAACGTCCTGTAACCTTGAAGAAGTGGCTTCTTCCAAACACAAGTGTTATTTCTATGCTTTGACATAGAGCTGTACCGAAATGATGACCTAATGAATAGTTACCACTGTGAAAACCTAAAATGTTAACATGTTCATTCTTCTACATATTGGGTCCATGGTACTGCATGATTTATTGACTTCTCTCATGATAGGTCATCATTTTCTCTTAGTGACTAGACTATGGGCTGGATGACCAGGGTTTGATTCCCAGGAGGGCAGGATTATTCTCTTTTCCATAACATACAGACTGGCTCTGGGGCCCACTGAGTCTCCTTACCCAGTGGCTATCAGAGTTATTTCTTCAGGGGTAAAACAGTAAGTGAGTGAAGCTAACCACTCATCTCCAGCCAGTGCCAAAATTAAAAATGTGTGGAACTATATCTCCACTCCCCCCATGCACCTGCATTTCATAGTGCTTAGTTATACAACAAGGGTAGATATACCTTACCTACCTTCCTCTGTACACACACCAGTCTTGACTTAATGACAGTTTTATTTGTCCTTAACTTTGGCCATTAATATACCATTTCTTCCACACACACACACTGAAACCGCACTAATTTGATCTAATATATCTAACGGGTATTTCAAATAAACAAAAGTCCTCATTATAGAACACAAATATGTAAGTCAATATTTTAAAATCACAGTTAAAACCAAGCAAGTTTATTCACAACTGAGCAATGTATGTTAATTAGGATGCAGACATAAAAGAAATAAAAATAAAATATTACAAAAATGTGTATATATTAACTTCTCATTTAGGAACAATAAAACATGTACATAAAAAAATGAAGACAGTCAGAATAATAAAGGGTCTGAATTAGTGAGGCTTTCCCATAATATAGTTTTGGCTTTCAGATATAATTTCGTGCCTTACTGGCTTATTTCATGATTTTCCTTTGCTGGTGTCACTTATTTGCTGTCTCAAGTCCCAAAACCATGACAATAATTCCTTTTTCAACTTTGTTATTTTTAATTTAAAATGTTAAACACAATAACCCTTCACTTTTTGTAAGTAATATTATTACAATCTAGATTTTTGCTTGTTTCCTATAAATAAACCAGAATGAAAATTATCAGTTTTTCTGATCAAAACTTCAACATCATATGTAGGAGAGCATGGACAATTATTATATCTACAATGATGCATTAAGGAACACAATTTATAGTCACAGTTTGGTAAGCTATCCCAGAGACGCAGATGAAGAAAGGTTATGTCACTGCTTTACACAAAAGACTCATTCAAGTGAGAGGACACCATGCTCAGTTGAGAAACAAACAGAGTGATGAAGTGTATAATTCTTGTATTGTAGGTAATTTCTTACACTAATGCCCTTGCTCAGAGCACCACCTGTGTAAATATTACTGGAGTTGTAGAGTACGAAATGGTTAACTCCCCGGTAGCAGAACCCGCAGGTTCAACACTGACAACATCAAAGCCTGCCACCAGCCACGATCTTGAGGCAAGGGGAGCATACAGGATTTTGGTAGGGAAAACGACCACTTGGCAGACCAAGAAGGTAATGGGAAGATAACATCAAGATGCATCTTAGGGAGGTGGGCTGTGAGGGTGGCAAATGAGTATGAATATGCATTTATTCTTATTGTTAAAATTTCCTAATATGACTAGTAAATATTATACTAATACGAAATCAACGAAATCTTACCAAAGTTCCAGAGATACTTGATAGGATTGTTTCCTCGGAAAGCATTCCCAATCTCAGCACTGTATTTGAACTCGGTGATACGGCCAAAACCAGTATAATCTGTGTTGTGTATTGCTTCACCACCTGCAACAAGTATTTTGACTTCAGTTTTTTTGTAGGATTCTGAAGAATCCTCTTGAACAAAAGCACATTTTTAACTATCAGTTCAACAAAATCAGTAACAAGTATATACTTTGTATAGTACCAATACTTTTCAAGACCGTATTTGAATTTCAGTAGCACTGTACATTGTAAAATACCTTACCCAGGTCAATAACTTCCTGATAGTAGAAAGGTCTGCTTCCAGGGGCAAAACCATGGTCGGTCCGTAGATTGTTCACCTGACTGTAGATGTCTTCCAGATCACTGGGCCACATGTGCTTGGCAGCATCAACCCTGTGTCAGTGGAATTGCTATTAATTTATTCTCTGGTTTATGAATGGCTGATGGATATTTTGTGGAGAATGAGGTCCCTTGCAGGACTTTATTTCCAGGGCACTTATTTAATTTATTTATGTATATAGTCAAGGTGTAATATGCTTTTAGCTAAACCAATGATTTATAAAACTCTTTATCATGTTATAGGACTGTGTGTTTCGGAATCTTATGTCACATGAAACAAGTTAGAACACGTGAAGAATGTAAAGCTAAGAGAGAACACAATTATAGCAAAAGCCTCATAATTTAGTGGGCATGTTAGACAAATGATATAAGGTATGTGGTTGCTATGGACATATGAATGGATATGTTCATGATCAAGAAAAACAACAACAAAGAAAGAAGTGGATAGCTAGAAGGTTAGATGGATATGTGGATACACTGGAGAGCTTAAGCCAAATACATTTGCTACGATGTGGAAAAGAAAAACTTAAAGTCTCCACTAATCCCACTTCTCCATCAATATAACGTCATAGTTCAGTGGTTTCGGGAGGCCCAGGGTTCAAATCTCGGCCCAGAGACTGGCTATATTCTAACTGAGTTTTTCCTGGTTTTCTGTCCCTTCACGCAAATGCCGAGATAGTACCTCAACTTAAGCCACGACCGCAGCCTTCCACATCCTTTCCAATTATTGTCATTGCGTTGTTAAATAAACTATAAATAATTGTTACTATGTTGGTATTATCTGTGACTGTTATATCGTTACTCTACTATTTGCCACGGTGCTGTTAACATTACCTAGGAGTACAGATGCCTGAACATTCATTACACTTTAAGCTGTTTTCACACGGATGGCTTCGAGCCGCACGTTTACTGACGCGCGATTTCACGACGCCACCGTAATAGGTCTACTATTTATCAGATCTTTTGCATTCAACAAATATTAGAGAAAACGTGGGAGTATAATGGGTCAGTACACTTACTATTTGTGTTCTTCAGAAAGGCATATAACACAGTCAGAAGAGATGTTCTGTGTAGCATTTTGGATTTGGAATACCAAATAAACTTGTTACATTAATTACGATGTGTATGGACAAGGCATCTAATAGTGTTCGTATAGGCAACCTTCCCTCGCATCCATTCCAGTGCTTTGTCCCCAGTGCTTTTTAATTTTGCTTTAGAACATGTCATCAGGAAAGTCAGAGGGAATCAGGAAGGGTTCGAATTGAATGGCGTGCACCAGGTACTTGCCTATGCTGATGACGTCAATTTGCTGGGGGATGGTGTGGGTACCAGAAACAAGAATGCAGAAACTCTCCTAGGGGCTATCAAAGAAACAGGCGTTTGCTATCCAAAACACTAAAGATCACGATACATAAAACAATAATTTTGCCAGTTGTCTTGTATGGTTATGAAACATGGTCTCTTACCTTGTAGGAAAAACGTAGATTATAAATGTTTGAAAACGGGGTACTCAAGAGGATATTTGGACCTAGGCAGGATGAAATAAGTGGGGAATTTAGAATATTGCATAACGAGGAGCTGAGTGAATTGTACGAGTCATCTGTCATAGTGAGGATAGTGAAATCTAGGAGGCTCCGATGGGCTGGACATGTAGCACGTATGAGGGGGAGGCAAGGGGTGTATACAGAATTTTGGTGGGACATCCTTGTTGAAAACGACTACTGGGGAGACCAAGAAGGATATGGAACTTAGGGAGGTGGGCTGTGAGGATTGAAAATTGATGGAGTTGGTTCAGGATCGTAGCCGGTGTTGTCGGTGCTGGACCTACTGGTTCTGCTATCATGGAGTTAGTTAGTTAGTTACAAATCTTAGCGAAATAGTGTCCGTGTCCGAAATCTACGTTGTGATTCGTTTTGTGAAAATATCCAATCATAATAGTCATTCAAGATTAAAATGTTAATACGTATGGACGATGATACAATATAGAAACCTAATATAAAAAATATGGCTGTTGAAGTAAATTTAAAGTAAAGTAAAACGTCCCACTAACGCCATGTAGGTGCATTGGGGGAGTGGAGGTATAGCTCCTCTCTTCCTTGACCTTGGCACTAGATGGGAGTGAGTGGTCAGCACACACCCCGGCCGGCTTTATCCCCTGAAAAGGACCCCGGTACCCATTGGACAGTAGGATGGGTGGGCCCCAGAGCCGGTCTGGACGTAGAGGCTAGAGGAAAACAAAAATCCTCTGCCCCCGTCGGGGATCGAACCCCGGTCGTTGAAGTAAAGGAGTTCGGCCTATTTCACAGAAACGTCCTAAATACAATTTAAATCAATGCACTTCAGTTACACGAAAAATAAATAAATTGCAATTGTTATACTTGAAGACTTGTATCCAAAATAAATTATTGCAAAGTTCAACGAGATGTTTAAAAGCACAAAGAAACGTTTAGTAAATCTGTATTATCTAAGTATGAACAAGTTCTTCTAGTATATTTTTGTTGAAACACAACCTATGGAAATTAAAAGCAAATTCGATCAACCATCTCGAGGTATTAGTGTCGTGTTACGTTTGTTTTGTGTCGTCTTCTGTTGTGTTATGATACATTCGTTTGTTAGCGAATGTGCTTGTATGAATTTGCAGATTATTAGTCAAGTGAGAAAATGCCCACGAGACGGAGGACACATTGAATTTAAAA